ATGAAGATATATATATATATATATATCTCTCTCAAATTAATGTACCTTCAATCTGATTGTCTTTTGTTTCATTATGATACTTGCACCAACTTGCAATCTAATTTTATTTATAATACATGGAGAGTACTTTAGATCTGTTCTTTGCACTGGACTGCACTGAAAAACTTTCTATCTTATTTCATCAAACTTTAAATATTTATATATCTATTTCATTTTAAATGCAAGTATATATTAGTTGAGCCGCAAAGAACAGATCTAAGAATGTTGAAATTGTAGAATGCGCTATGTCATATATTAACTGCTTGTTATTGTATTAATTAATTATAATTATTGTATGTATTAACTGATAGGCCAGAACATCAACAACACACTTACATGGTGTACAATCTCCGAAAGCGAGCAGAACAAATGTCAGGCCTTCTCTAGAGCGATTGATCGTGAAAGAGGATCTTTTGACTATGATTATTTTTCGGTGCAATGCAAGCAAGCTTTCAACAAAGAAGAATGTATGTCCATGCTGGACCACGAGAAGGCTCAGATAACAACATTAGACGCTGGAGAGGTCTTTATAGCTGGACGATATCACAGTCTTGTACCAATAATGCAAGAAATATATGAAAGTGGCGTAAATTATCAATATGCTGTCGCAGTGATTAAAAAAGGCTCTCTGCCTGATGTACAGTCTTTGTATGATCTCAGAGGCAAGAAGGGCTGTTTTGCTGGTGTCGGGACACTAGCGGGTTGGGTTATTCCCATTAATAATGTGAGTAAAGTTTATGAATTATGACATAAAGTATCTGAATGTAAAAATTTTTAACACACTTATATACAATAAAATATATTTTTATCAGCTTATGAAGAAAGGAGGAATGGAAGTTATTGACTGTAATAATCATGTAAAATCAACGATTAAATTCTTTGGGCCTAGTTGTGCAGTAAATTCATTAATTGATAAAAACAATCCAATTGGTAAGTTTAACGTAAAACCAGGGATGCTTTTTTCGTTATCCAACCAGAAGTTACCACAACTCTTCAGGGATCAGAAGATGAAGATAGCCTTAGCCGTGGTTGCTTCTGGTTGGATAACGAAAAAACGCCACTGAATCTGTTCTTTGTAATTGAATTAGTATACATTCATCTTAAAATTTAAAAAATATATATAATATTAATTAATATATGTACATATATGTAAGTGGATGCGTGCGTGCGTGCATACGTGTATGTGAAGTTTCGTAAAAGTGAAAGAAACCGTTTCATGCATTTTCATCAGTGTAGATTAACTTTAATCTTGATTTATTTGACTCTATCTTTTACTAATTCTTAAAACTGGAAAAAGATAAACAGCAAATTAAACTAAGATTAAAGTTAATCTACATTGGTAGAGATGGATATTAATGCAGTCCGATGCAGCGATAAAGAATAGGTTTAAAATATAGATGCGTTTTCATTCTGCAGTTATAATCTAGGGCTTCAATTGCAGGTGATAATTCTGATCACTTGTGTAGCCTGTGCATCGGAGAAATACCCGGCGGCAAATGTACAAACAAAGATCCTTACTCAGGGTATGAAGGGGCTTTCCGCTGTTTGGTTGAAGCGGGTGAAATTGCTTTTTTGGTGCACACGACTGTAGACGAGATGACATCAACGACATTCGATTTCAGTATGCAATTCTAGAAGTAAAATTTTCAGAAAATAAAAATCGACAAAGCATTCTATAATTCTCGTTATTTTAGGTTCCGTGAAGAAGGAACAATTCGAACTGCTATGCACAAGCGGTATTCGCAAGTCCGTAGACGATTACAGTACTTGTAATTGGGGTATCGTACCGTCTCGCGCGATAGTTACATCTTCGGCGACGAACTTTGACATTCGTCGAAGATATCAAAGATTTTTGGAAAAGACTGCTCAAATACTACACAAGAATAAAAATGGCACGACGAACTTTAATCGTTTCGGCAATCAGACAAATTTTACGAACCGTCCCGGTTATGACAGCAATCAGAGGAATTTTGAAAATCGTCCAGGTTACGACAATAATCAGAAAGATTTCGAAAATCGTCCTGGTTACGATAGCAATCGGAGGGATTTTGAAAACCGTCCAGGTTACAACAGAGTTGGTGAGGGTGATTATAATAGAGGCGGATTTAGAAATCCGAATGAATATGGCACAGACAATCGGAATCGTGGCAGATACGACCAAAGGTTTGGTAGCGGTGACGGAAGAGGAGTAGATGGAGGATTGAACTCATGGGAGAAGCCTGCATTCGACGATACATTCAATTACTATAGCAGAGAAGGAGAAAACACTGAACCAGCGAATGTGCAACCGATAGAAATGTTTGAATTATATGAATCGGCACCTAGATACGGATTACAGCATAATTTAATATTTTCTGTGAGTCTTAATATTCTCATGTTTTGTTTGTTTGTTATTTATTTAGAACTTATTTATAATGCATGCCATTTTTCTAGGATTCCTCTCGTGATTTTGTACAACTGCCCGAAAAGGATCAAACATACACAGGGTATTTAGGACAATCTTTAGAACATATATTAGGAGTACATCATTGTCCCGTAAATCGGATGACACTGTGCGTTACATCCGAGCCAGAAATGGAAAAATGCATAAAAATGAAGGTACCATTTAGATTATATACTTAAAATATCACGGTTTACATTATTTCAAACATTATTTAAACATTGTTAATTTTAATATCTTTAATATTTTTCGCAATAAATGCTTTACAGGTTTTAAAATGTTAGTAGCATAAAATTTAGAGGGATTATTATTTCATTTTGATTGCGTTGCAACTTTGAAAAATAACACAGCCACACAAAAAAAATTTTGGTTCTGACCTGGGGGTCTGACTATGTGTACCTTATGTTTTTGGGGTCTCTGAATCCGAATCCGAGGTCCATTTAACCCCATCAGATCAGGATTTTTTTCTAACCTAAAAAAACCAGTCGGATTACAATTTTTTTAAAACATTGATGGATTTACATGAAATTTGTTACTTGTTTTTGAGGTTGGCAAAAATCTGCCAACATATTAACGTCCCTGATAGCGAGTTTCAACAAGTTTAATATCTTGGTGGAAACGTTCACCCTGTTCTTCACTGAAGTGCCCCAGGTTTCCAGGAAATTTGTCTTGCGTGTATCTGCATCCAGGGCACCTCCACGTGGTGACGGTGGGCAACGGAGACTATCTGCTATCCGCTATCCGCTATCCGCAACCTCCCCGCGGTGTACATCGGGTAATGCCAATGCCGACGGTACAATGATTTAAAAAACTGACCTTAGTTAAATGAATGTAAAAATAAAGTCATTTAGTGTGAAGTTGATGATTGGGTAAAGTAACTTTATAAGGGTTCTAGGGTTTCACAGCTTGGATCCGCTACTTGTAATTTGGAAATTCTGACTCTAAATTCGTAATCAGCGACCCCGAAGACCCTTAGATACCAAGTTTCAAAAAAATATTAATTTTTGTTAAATGTGTCCGCCATATTGGATACGCCACTTTGCATTTTTAAAATCTAGCATCAAATTCGTAATCAGCGACCTCAAAAACAAGTAACAAATTTCATGTAAATCCATCAATGTTTTAAAAAAATTGTAATCCGACTGGTTTTTTTAGGTTAGAAAAAAATCCTGATCTGATGGGGTTAAATGGACCTCGGATTCGGATTCAGAGACCCCAAAAACATAAGGTACACATAGTCAGACCCCCAGGTCAGAACCAAAATTTTTTTTTGTGTGGCTGTGTAATCAGCGTGTAGTCATATTGTCATATATCTCACATGAAATTTATTTAAATTAGATATAGATGTATTATTCCAATATTTGTCTTTAGACACTGTAAGTGGCGTTTCTCATATTTAATTAATTTAATTATCCTTATTGTGCTTGTAGATCGCCTTAAAAGCTCAGCTGTTGAAACCAGAATTAATTTGTCACAAAGGTCATAGTCAAATAAATTGTATGCAGTCGATAAGAAGCGGGTACATGAAAAATATATTGCATTTAAACGTATGTATATTCTGAAATGAAATTATGGGCGTAATAGGTTTTTTTTCTTTACGGTAGAACTGCCGATGTAGCTGTATTAGATGCCAGTGATGTCTATACCGCTGGACTGCAATTCGAACTGATTCCGTTTATATCCGAAGTGTACAATTTGGGTACACCGGACTATTACGTTGTCGCCGTTGCGAAGGAAGAGGACGACAATACAGATCTGACATATCTAAAAAATAAGAACACTTGTCACACTGGAATCAACATGGCTGCAGGATGGGTTTATCCATTGGCATATCTTATTTCTAACAAGTGGATCAGAGGATACGGTTGCGATTCCGTGCGTGCAGCTGCGGAATACTTTAGCAAATCCTGCGTGCCAGGCGCACTCAGCACCGAATATAATATAGGTAGCTGAAAAAAGTTCTAACATATCCTAAATCTTAGCTAAAAATTTCTAATTAAAAGTTCTAAATGAAGAAAGTTGGTAATTGTTCTAAGCTTGCAATTTGAAAATTAATAGAATAAAATAAAATAAATTAATAAAAGTAGCAAATTCTTTCATAAAATAATTGCGTCTATAAACTTTTCTTATCTAATATTTGATTAATTAGTTATTTATTGTTTGTAGGTGTGCCTTATGATAATATGTGCGACTTATGCCACGGGGTGAGCTACCGGTATTGCCGAAGAGACGCTTCCGAGGATTACTTTGGTTATACAGGTGCTTTTAGATGTCTGGTAGAGGGAGGTGGTGACGTGTCCTTCGTGAAGCATACGACGGTCGCAGAGAACACCGACGGCAAGCGCAAAGAATTTTGGGCACGCAACACCTTCACAAAAGACTTTGAATTGCTTTGCCCAGATGGTACGCGTCGCCCAACAACAGATTATATGAACTGCAATCTAGGCAAAGTCGCTGCCAATGCTATAGTTACACGCGGCGGTTATTACGGCTATAACCAGACGCAAATCAATGCATATATCAATCTATTTATATACGCACAACAGTTCTATGGCCGAAAGGAACCGGATGAATTCAGTTTTAGCATGTATTATAGCCGACCGCCTTACAGCGATCTCATTTTTCAAGATGCCACTCAACAGTTGGTGGTAATCCCGCCGAACAAGCGGGAATACATCACGTACCTCGGACCAGATTTTATGAGAGCCAGGAGAATCGTAGATTGTAACGCAGGTGCATCAGTGATAAGTTACTCGTTGTTTGCTACAATAATTATGATTGCGTTTACTTTCGCATTTGGTAGATAAGTATAATGTCCGCGATTTATAGATTATGCTTGTACACGAATACTCGAACAAGAATTCATCGAGATCAAATAATAGAGATTTGACAAACGAATCTGATATAACACATTTTATCAATTGGCATAGCATGTATATTATAATTAGCAATCTAGTATATTTTAATGCTGCTACATATCGTTAATATTTTCAAAGATATATTCTAAATATTATTCAAATATTGTTTTATACATATATTTTACACATATATTTTTATTAAAGTATGAATGACTGAAAGACGGAGGTGAATAAATAAATTTAAGCATAATTGCTGCCTTTGCATCCGTCCAATGAAGCAATATCTCTAAGCGCTGCCTTTGCATCCGTCCAAATACAAGAAACTTATCGATGTGGTAATTTTAGGGATTATTGTATTTAAAATAATTTGATAAACTCTCTTGTATGTAAGTACATTTTATACCGTCCACTAATATTTTTTGTAGTAATAAATCTTTATAAAGTTTTCCATGTATTTTTACACTGTTCCATGCGTTACTCAGTAAAATAGTATCTCGAGTAGAAAAACCAACGGAGGACGTGAAATGAGATAGAATTTGTTTACGTATAAATCAAGATTTTATGAAAAGTATTGCTTGGCTGCGTTCAGCAGAACACAACAATTTTGCAACCGTTTTATGATTCTCTGCTGAGATAGGACCATTCCTCTCGATTTAAAAGCATAACCCAATCAGCGTGAAGAAAAACTTCCAACAGTTGCAAAATAGACGTTCTGCTGAACGCAGCCCTTGTTTCTTAAATGGCGAAACATCGGAAGTAAAATGCTGAATGACGCGCGATGACAGAAAAGATTGAAATTACAATTGAATAACGAACAGGAAAAGAGATCATTGCTTTGGCTGTCAAAAATTCACGCAAATCTTAAGTTTGGATCAAAATTTCTAAAGTCAACACAATTCTTAATCCGACTCTATAATTCGAATAATGTAATTTTAATAAAAATCTCGACGTTGAATATTAAAGTTCTCTTATTAATCGAAAAACAAATTGTTTTTGCAAGAAAATAGTACAGGATAAAGCGATATGAATAGTGATACTCGGTCAACAAATACGTTTAAACACGAAAATTTGGGAAAAGGATCTAACACGCAACTCGATAGGCGCAATAAGCCTCAAGTAGTATTCTTGTAAGATCAAAAATGTAGTAATATAATACATTAAAATATATACATTCAGGAAACCGATGCTCGCCAAATATTCGACAATCTGAATCAATCCAGTCAACAAAAGCAGAAATTAGATTCTAACTTAACATCGACATTTCATACTTCATCTTCATCTACAAAATATACTAATGCCATAACAGGTGAAATCTTGTATAATTGATTGTAAATAATTTTCATTTCTATCTAATAATAAATCCACATTTATATATCGACGTCTGAGCCATAGAAGGTGCTATATCGAGAAAAGCATGAAGAAGAGTCTATGTCAAAAAAGCGGTCTATCTCGCGCAAGGTGTAAAGACCAGTCTATGTCGGAACACATGCAAAGTACGATTTATATCGAGAAAATCAAAAAGAACGGTTTATGACTTTGAAGATGGATTTATCAGGGTTTATATCGCGCTATGTTTCCTTCTCATAAATTTTGTAGTGGTATGACTGAGGACAGGTAACTAAATTTGTGTAATATTTCTAAATATAAAACATTTTTTTATTTCTAAATATGTAAAATTTTTTAACAGAAAATGAAAATTATACAGTGTTCTTTTCGTGTTAGATAAATAAATGTGTAACATTGAGTTTTTACATCTGAATAATTTAAATTATATGACATGTGACAAGAGTTTCGATTTACAAACCAATAATATTTTAATTATATTAACAATTATGCTCTAATTTAACTTAACAAGAATTAGCTTAACAACGAAGATTTTTAAGATTTAATTTACGCTTGCATATCACTACAAAATAGTCATACCACTACAAAATTTATGAGAAGGTAACATAGCGCGATATAAACCTTGATAAACCCTTCTTCATGCTTTTCTCGATGTAGCACCTTCTACGGCTCAGGCGTCAATATAGTGTATATAATATATTATAGAGTTGTCGTTTTTTTATTCATATCTATATCAATAACTTGTCTCTTTTACGATTTTTTCCAATTGTTAACTGTATAAGTTCCAAATTTTCAGGTAAACACCGAGTCCATAAATTAGTGGACAGCAAGCAAGTTCTATTTCATCAATTTGATAAGAAGGCATTTCTTCTAGATACTTACGCTTGTATTGTTGCTAGCAATAACAGACGTTATCCTAAGCGATTGCGTGAACTTGCTAAACCAAAGAGACAGGCTCGTAGCGATCTGAATGACTATGCTGCGAATTTCGATCTAAATTACGGCCATGTAACTAAAACTTATCGTATGGAAAACAAAAGCAAAAACTTAAAAGAATTAAAGAAGGAATAGTTCAATTATCATAATAGATTGATTTAAATAATTTCTCAGTATGATTACTCCAGTTTCAAACAACTTAACAAAATTCAAAAGACAGGAAAAATATCTATATATAAAGAATATCAAAAAAAAATTAAAAAATATAATTATTTTTAAACCTCTGCATTTTTTAAGGAAATAAAATAAAAATCTTTCTGCTCCTGTGTGTAAAAGAAAAGCTAATACAATAAAGTGATTGGATTTCGTGCATCTCTTTCCTATAGTAAGATTGAATTGTAGATATGTAATATCTTTCCTGTAAGACTCGTTATATATTCCTCGTTATATATTTCCTCATGTTAAGGAAAATATAATAACCTACATCAATATTCAACACAGTTCGCAATTATCATTTATATCATTTGAAAAATGTGTGCCAAAAAGAAAAAACGACGATGTTGCGAACTGTGACCATTGGAGATAAAGATGATTTTTGCAAGTCGCTGATTTATCTGCGACCTCTCGCTACGGATAATTACATTAATTCTCGCTTTGTTTTGGTTCAAAATCCCGCGTGCGTGCATATTTGAATTACAAAACCGTGCATGACCTCACGTAAGCCTTGCTGTTTGTGGGAAATATTCTCGTATGATAGAGTCAAGTTTCCCAGAAAAACAATTGCGATTAAGCGCGCGCGTCTTCCTGCTCGCAGTTGGGTATAAAAGTCCTCGTAGTGCCCTTGAGATGTTTTTAGTGCTCGCTGATGCGGTACTTAACGTGCTTAACCGGTTTCACGTGCGTAAGTTTCCTACTTGTATTAAACGGACAGTCCAAACTGTCTTCCTCTGCAGAAATATTATGAAGTGCTTGTTCGTTATCCTCTTGAGCGTTGCTATCGTGCTCGCCGATGACAATCTCACCAACGAAGAACATGAAGTCACTGCTCCGATTGGAAGAATTCGCGGTTCCATCATCATTTCCAGATTAGGCAAAAAAATTTATTCTTTCCGCGGTGTGAGATACGCTGAACCGCCGACTGGACAACAACGTTTCCAAGTAAAGCATCAGATATTGCCTGCGGCAGAGTTGCGAAGTAACATTATTAATAATTATAACTGCGTTTTGTTATCCGTGTTACTTTTTTCGACTATGTCATGACTTTAATTCGGTAATGGTTATTACTTCTAATGATCTTCTAACGATCTTCTACTACATAGCGAAAATAAAAATTGAAATGTAATACACACAAATGTAAGATTAATTTTAGTCTTAATTCAATTTACTTTCTATATTTTTCTAATTCTAATGCCCGTTTCTACCATTGTAATTTAATTTTAATCTTAGTTCAGCTAACTCTTCATCTTTTTATAATTCTAATAATTAGAAAAAGACGAAGAGTTAATTGAACCAAGATTAAATTTAAACTATTTATAAAAACGTCCATTTCTACTAATATAGATAGAAAATTAACTAGAACTCTTAGATTGAAGATTAACTAGAACTCTTCTTAAACTCTTAACTCTCTTATAACTCTCTTAACCCTCTTTAACTCTTCTTAACTCTTCTTAGAAGATTAACTAGAACTCTTCTTTAGATAGAAGATTATATAGATAGAAGATAACTTTGATCTCGGTTTAATTTACTATTTTACCTTGTCCACAACCTTGCTTTAAGAGGCCGTAAGCTGTAAAGCCTTAAGAAATTGACTAATCACAGTTGAATATAAGAAAAATAATCGACTGTGATTGGTCAATTTCTTACAGCCTACGGCTTACGACCTCTTAGGTCCAGTTTCGCAACTTACGGTTAACTTTTAACCGAAGTTCAACTTATTCAGTATCTCTTTCCAATTTTAGAATTGGAAAGAGATAATGAATAAGTTGAACCTCGATTAAGAGTTAACCGTGAATTGTGAAATTGGGCCTTAAAGTAAGGTTGTGGACAAGGTATTTGTCCTTTTCCAATCCTTAAATCTAAAATAAAAGATAAAAAATAAGTTAAACTAAATATAAATTAAGTTGATCTATGTTGGTAGAACAGACATAAGAAGTGTAACAGTATAAGTTAAACCGAGACTATAAGGGCGACTGTTATTAAAGTCGATTAACTTAATCGACGATTAATTCAATCAGCAATGTAGTAAATAGCAAAACTGTATATCGTTCTTAACCTTATCTCTTCGTGATATACTAGTTCTATCTCTACGTTCCTATACTTAATTATGAAAAGTAATGAAAATCTTCTATCTATAATAGTAATTCTGCTGATTGAGTTAATCGTCGATTAAGTTAATCAGCGTTGGTAATTAACAGTCCCCCTAAAAATTAATCTTACATCGGTGAAACTGACAAGTAAACCTACGGAAATATCACTCACCGATTTTAATGAAACTTTGTATATTTGTAGAACTTTGAAAAATAATTGACACGTATTTTTTTTTATCGGCAAAGGCCCATTCTGAAGGGTGAAAACTACCCCTTAAAGGTAAGGGTAGATTTAACGTATTAGGTGAAATAAGTTGAAAATTTTAAAAAGTAAAATGGGTTAGGGGGTTTTTGGGGTCGCTGAAATTAAATCTTATGTCAAAAGTATAAAATTCAAAATTTTCAACTTATTTCATCTAGTATGTTAAATCTATCCTTACCTTTAAGGAGTAATTTTCACCTTTCAAAGTGGACCATTGCCGATAAAAAAAAATACGTGTCAAATATTTTTCAAAGTTCTACAAATATGCAAAGTTTCATCAAAATCGGTGAGTGACACTTCCGTAGGTTTACTTGTGAGTTTTAGAATTAATTACTTTCCATAATTGATTATTTGCGCTTTCGAATATTTATACATGTTCCCTGAATGCTCTGTAAAGCGGGGTCTACAATGAGATTATTTTAAGGCTAGAGTTTAAGGCGTCGTCTACAATACACGGAGTAAGAAGTAAGAGTAAGAAATTGACCAATCACAGTCGAATGTGAGAAGAATAATCCACTGTGATTGGTCAATTTCTTACTCTTACTTCTTACTCCGTGTATTGTAGACGACGCCTCAAGCTTAAGTAAAACTAAAGTAAAACTTAAGTTAAACTCTAGCCGTAAGAAATTGACCAATTACAATCGAATGTGAGGAGAATACTCTATTATGATCAATTTTTTACGGCTTAGAGCTTAAAGCTTAAGTTTTACGGCTTAAAATTTCATTGTAAGCGCCGCTTAAAGCAGATATGGAACATTCTGTTACGTTTCAATACTCTTCAATAATTCATTTTTATTAACGTTTCCTAAATGCTTCACAAACCATGAATGAAGTACTTCGGTTACGCTTTTCCGTATGCTTCAATAATTTATATCTAGAAGTTCTTTAGTAAAATGCTTTCATAACCTTCTACAAAGAATGCATGATTTCAATACACTTCTCGCACACTTCAGAAATCCAATTTGATGCTGGTCAACTTCCCAAGAAAAAATGATTCATATATAATTACATACAATTATACATAATTATATAAAATTATATATAATTAGAAAAAAAATTGACATATTTTATATACAATTATATATAATTACATATAAAATTATATACAATTATATATAATTATATATATGTCCATATATATAACATTTTTTTTCCGGATTAATATTGACAGATAATGATTAATCACTTAATTTCAAGTATTAAGAGCACTGAATAACAATGTTTTTAATACTTAAAATAAGTAATTATAATAATCACTGCTATCCAATAATTCCAATATTCTATACATGTAATTCTTATTGAAACTTCGTCTACGTTTCCTAAACGCTTAATAAAGAATAAGAATAAGCAGTTAATTATAGTATATAGAGTATTCTGATGATACGCTTTGTGCGCATTTCTATATAGCTAATAAGCTACGTTATTAGCACTATCGCATCATAATTCCATCTTTATTTTATGTTTAACGCTAAAAATGAACGCTAAAAATAGAATGACACAATAGCGCTCCCCAAACGTAGCATGAGATAAAATTTAAATATTTTTTAACAAACATTTTCATAACGTATTAAAGTTTCTCGTTACTCTTTTCTTTCAAGTTAAAAGCTTTAGACTTTTACCACAAATGCGAAATTGCTACATGTTTTAAAAGGCGTACTATTAGCACTATATTTGCGTCATTTTATTTTTGTTTTATGCCTAATAAATAATAAAAATAAACTGATAATAACAATAGCGTGTGCTTTCTCCGAACGCAATCTATATAATTTAAAGAAATAAAATGAAATTGTGTATGATGTGAATATAAATTACATAAAGAAAATTGAAAGCTTCTCAAAATGTCAAAGAAGTGTAAATGAAAATTTTACCTTGAATTTTACGTTTCTTCATTAGAAGTTTCGTTGATTTTTCATTGACCTTTCACGGTTTCGAACGTACATATTATATAGTTCATACCACGCTCTCTAAACGCATCGTATAAAGCATCATGTATTATGGAACATTCTTGTTATGTTTTCCACACTTTTTTATAATTCATTTTTCTTTACACTTCCTAAACATTCCACAAAGTGTGTACAAAACACTTCATTAAAGTTAATTGTTCTGCTCGTGCTTGTCGAAGAATTTTATACTATGTTAATGCTTTTTGACGTTTATATAGTTATCGGTCCGATGTTTCAACTTTTGCCTCTTACAAATCTCGTTTATACATTCGTTACTTTTCCCTTGCACTAGATTTACTCTTCAATTAAATGCTTTATTGACATTTGTTTTACGTTTTATTTTCACTAGCAATTAAAAGCATTTTATTTTTTTGATCCAGTAATTTGTTGGTAAAAATAAGACCAAAGTTTATCGGACTAGACCGAATTTTTTTTTTAATTTTATTTTCGTCTAGGTCGCAATTCCAGCAGCAGATTGGAATGACGTTTTCGATGCGACTAAAGAAGGACCTGCCTGTCCAGCATTATTCGAACAGAATATAATAGAGGATTGTCTCCGTGTGAACGTCTATACAACGAAAGTGAGTCTCATGATGTAACGTACATTCACGCTGAAAAAGGTATGAAGTCACTAATTGAACAATTATTTTAATTGCAGTTACCGTCGGAGAATGATCCAGTGAAAAGACCCGTACTAGTATTCTTC